ACCCACTCGATAAAGAACATTCAAAATTCAGCTATATTTCCAGGAAAGAAAAGAGTAAGAAAAGCATAAATATTTTTCAATAATATAAACACGGAGAGGGGAAGGATAAGAAGAGGGTAAAAAAAGATAGTCAAAAGAAAAGCTCACGTCGGTCTGGTTCCACTTCGATATGTAGTTTTTGCATATGGGCAATCAACTGCTGCTCGTATTCAGCAGACCGCTCCTCATCTACGACTTCACCGTCCTCCTCATACAAGTCATCATCGGAACTCACTTCTCCATCACGAATCCTTTCCAAACGATCTTCTCTCGCTCTGAAATTACGTATACGCAGAATTAGTGAACACCCAGGGCCGTTAGTTGAGCTTCCTGGTCAGAAATATGGGAGAATGTTTCTTTGTCTTCATTTGCTTTCTTAAACAAGGTCCTAAAAAGAGCGTGTTTTCACCATACTAATGTGTAAGAATAATAGACGCCAAGAGCGAAGAAATTGTTCCAAGAACGGATGAATTCTAAGGGAACACATTTGCCATCCGTGCCCGGGGATCGCATACGCTCCTGCAATCACTTACCCTGAACTCTACTACCCAAACGTAAAGGTAGTGCTCGTTGTGGAGGCGGAGCGCTCATGAGCGAACTACAGACACCTAGCCTCTAAGGCTGGTGTCAGAGTCCGCGATCCGTCGCAGTTTCGCGCGATTCGCGAGATTCGCGACCGCAAAAATTGCAAGTGCCCCATTTGAACATTTGAAACACTGAATATGAAACAAGTAGAATCATGAACAGTCGTCATTCAACCATCACCATCAAGCAGAAATGGCGGCGGATTGGAGAGCACCTCGCAGTATTGATCGGGGCACTTGTGATTTCTGTGATTCGCGCGAATCGCGCGACGGATCGCGGACTCTGACACCAACCTAAGGGTTCCTGACAAGCGCTCCGCCTATAACAGCGACGTAATCGGTTGCCTTTAACCCATTCGCGACCGCGCGGGATTGCGCAATAGCAGTAGAGTCAGGAGATTTTTCTTCAATAAAATTTGAGTGGATGGAGATTTCCTCTGCCCAGGGCTGGCGTAGATGAATGAGGGTATGAAGATTCTTTTCATGGAAAGAAAACTTTCCAAATTCCATTTGAAACCCGGCAGCCACAGGTGGATGCCATTGTCCCGAGTGAGATCTTTGTCAGCCACCGGTGGCTGCCATTGTCACGAATGGGTTAAAGAATTGTAGACTCACTGTATCCGCGCCATTTCAAGTCGACGTTTCATCTCATCCAACTCCTTGTCTCTGATTTCTGTTTGACGGAAAATTATTTTACTTTTCGCCATCGCATGAAAATTTCCAAACTCCGATTCTGCAAAAAAAAATCACAATGGTGATGCAGAACACAAGCAAAGAATGATGTGCTGAACACCAATAATCGGTCGCGAACAGCCGAAGTTGGCTATCGTACAAAGTCGTGAGGTCTTTCAAAGACAAGCCAAAGGGAGAGATGTCAAAAATGTCTACATAGTGACTCGCGCGGATAAACGTGTTTGAGCCTTGTCCCCAACCATCGTATAACTTCGTATAATGTATGCTATAGTGCAAAAGTTTCAAAAATCGAAGAACGAGTTTTCTATGGATAAAAAGGAATAAAGCATTTGCCGTTGATCAATCCCTTTTTGGGATGCGGCACGCATTCTACTTCCATTTGTACATTCGCAGTGGCGTTTGAATGCGATGTGGCCTATACAATGACTTGCGGGGGCCAGCCGATGTTCAAGTCAGTGTTTTTATCCTCCCAGACAAGTCTGGTACCAATTAACCGACCCCGGAGGGATGGAAGGCTTGGTTGGCCCGGGCGACTCACGACCCAGGATTTGATCCCGGACCGCTCGCGTGGTGAGCGCGCCACTTGTCACTGCACCACTTCCGCCGAATGTGTAAGGGGCGGAAGTGGTGTAGTGACAAGTGGCGCGCTTACCACGCGAGCGGTCCGGGATCAAATCCTGGGTCGTGAGTCGCCCGGGCCAACCAAGCCTTCCATCCCTCCGGGTCGGTTAATTGGTACCAGACTTGTCTGGGAGGATAAAAAACACTGACTTGAACATCGGCTGGCCCCGCAAGTCATTGTATAGGCCACATCGCATTCAAATGCCACTGCGAATGTACAAATGGAAGTAGAATGCGTGCCGCATCCCAAAACGGGATTGATCAACGGCAAATGCTTTATCCTTTTATCCTTTAAATAGAAATGAAAACTTAAAAAGCGCCATCTATTATATATGCATCTTACAGAACTTGAAGCATTCAGGAGTAGATCCTAGAACTGAACCGAAGAGCGTTGAGGACCAAAGTCAGATGACAACAACACTGCTATCAGAAGGACAGCGCTTTCCGATATAAGGAGGACAGTAGTAAACCAGTCCGCACCAGTAATCCTTCATACGTTTAAGGATAAACATTCCGTTGATCAATCCCTTTTGGGATGCGGCACGCATTCTACTTCCATTTGTACATTCGATGTGGCCTATACAATGACTTGCGGGGGCCAGCCGATGTACAAGTCAGTGTTTTTATCCTCCCAGACAAGTCTGGTACCAATTAACCGACCCCGGAGGGATGGAAGGCTTGGTTGGCCCGGGCGACTCACGACCCAGGATTTGATCCCCGGACCGCTCGCGTGGTAAGCGTGCCACTTGCCACTACACCACTTCCGCCCTTATGAGTGATTTAATGTCATTTAATCATAAAAACCTACTATAGTCGTCCGGATCCAAATTGTTCATTCGCAGGATGACCTTGAGTATGAACAGGGAATTGTCGATAAGAAACTGCTGCTCTTCTTCCTCTTCTTCGGTCCATTTTCTCATTGAACCATCCATATCTGGTCCGAAATGCATGATGAAGCGCTCCTCAATGAACGCTCGCACACTGTCCAGACCTGATATGATGTAAAAAAAATGTCTATAAATATGAGAATAATTCAATGCTGATAATTTGGAACTCTAAAACCTCCAAAGTCCAGTATCGTTGGAAAAGTTCTACGCAACCGTTGGGCAAGGGTTCTTAGAACAAATTTGTGAATCATTAGTTAAACCACGACATTTGACCCCTCTGCTCCACAGCATAGAATTAGGGGCGGATAAAGGTCACAAAGCAGTACAAAAAATTCTCCCGGACAGAGTTCAAGGGCCAAGTCATATTTGAGAAAGCTGGAAGGTGAGAACTTGTGATTGAATGTCTCGGTGAGCCTCCCCCACGCAGCTCCTGCCCAAGCATCCACTGGAAAATCTTCGGCGGAAGAGGGAGAAGGAGGTCATTGTACTCGAAACATCCTATCATCATGCTTGTAATGGCTCTACTATCGCAGTCCTCTGAGTGCATACGCCGCCTGGGACTCGACATGTGTACTTCATTTCAGCATAACTATTTCTATTGCTTCATTAGCGTCTTTGGCCCTATAATAGTCTTTTGCACACATTACTGCTAGTAGCAGCTATCAAGGAACGAATAAGTAATCCCTACCCCCCAACCCCACCGTCGTGGTGGCTGAAAAACCATGTGCAAGCAACCGTGTGACCGCAACACATAAACTACTCCAAATTTGAAACGGGATCAACTGTGACGGTCGACCGGTATTGGATATACGACCCTCTCCTACAGTGGACGATACCAGTAGTGCCACTGAACCTTGTACATTGTACCGTTAAACCCCTTCAACTCGTCTTCTCCAGTACTTCAAAAGTGCGGAGGAGGGTATATTTGGCAGGACAAAGGAGCTTCCCGCGATTTTGAAGAAAGAGACGTATTTAGCGGTGTGGATCATGGCTGTGGATGGATGAAACGTGACTGTTGAAATGGCACTGGAACACTGCGAAAATTTCGAAGGTTCCCTATTCGGGCTGATTCTTCCGCAATACTCAAAAAATTCCCTCGTCCCAGGTTCCTGGACCATAAACAACTACGACCCCTTTCCGTCTGATACGACACCCTGCTCTGACTCCACCAACGGACGATTCACCCTGACCCAGACCCTCGACTTCTTGGTTCGGGCTCTATGATCATCACATTACAGGAATCATTCTGATGATGGCTCTAGCCGAAAATCCAGTTATCCTCTCGGTAAAACAGGATGCCCTATCAAATCGCACCCATAATTAGTTCGTTCCTCATTTCCAAAAACCATTGCGGCTTCAAAATCGCTTGAGAAATAATTTGTGTGCAAGAGGCAAGGTTGAAACTAATTCGTACCTTTTTCTTGATCGAATATGATTTCGTCGGCTTGCTTCACATGTTTTTTGATGAGGTCCATCTTTCTATATAGGAAATTTGCAAGCTCCTGTTGCCCATCTTTGATCAATAGATAGCGCTCCGTCGCCATCGCGTTGATCACGTCTCCTTCTGAAATTCCGAGTGTCGAGAACGGTGGCACCATTCGAAGGCCATGTACACTACGGCTGAAGGGTGGAGCAGCTTTAATGACGCGATTTAACGTCATTGGTGGACTAGACCTCTCGCTAATGGTATGGTTGGGACCAAGGACCGGATGTAGCAAAGCCCGGCCAGGGAGGGTCTCCAAAAGCTGCACCTCGGGATGGATCCCTCAATTCTTGACCATTAGGACTGCGTCATCGAACGGAAGAGACACAAAGCTTTGAAAATCCATCCCGGTAGGGCCCTGCTGAACACCAGATCTTAGGCCTTCACGACAATGACGTCTAATGACGTTATAACCGCACCACCCTCCATCCACCTTGATCATTTCCTTCTAAAAATACCTTAAGCAATTCTCCTCAACTCAAACTAAACTCACTTCGCTTACGGGGTTCTTCAAATGCCTCCTTTACATCCTTGATAATGTCAGGTTTCCAAACAGACTCTTCCTCAATTACAAGTAGAGGCCTCGCAGTGGCTGGTTGGATGGGTAGCGTGGGATCACACTCCATTGGTTCGAAATCTTCTATCGCTTCCTC